AATTGCAGTGGTGGAAATGACCTCAATTTCATTTTAATTCTTGCTTTCTTCTAGTTGTTTGTTCCACTTATCTAACATACACACCACTCTAATCTTATGAACCTTCATATCTAACACATATGCTTTCAATTTTGACATAAATGTCACATTATATATGCATGAAGTTGTTTATATCACTTTTATGTGATCTGAATAAAATATTTGGGTAGCATAAATGTAATGAAGTTCATTTGATTTATTTGTTAGCAATGTCATGATAAGACCAAAGAGGTCGGATTATCAGCCATGTGGGATAAGGAAGTGTTGACCTCATTTGGTGCGGTCTAGTTTCTCTTCTCTAGAATCCTAGGATCTAGCCATATGAATTTCCTGTTGACTATCCTAGAGGACTAGTAGAGGAGCCTACCTTTCTTAGACATTCTAATCACTTCCTTGTTCTTCCTGAAGTTTCACATGTATAACTCTAACCTGTAGCACTTGGAAGGTTGGAACCAACATGGGCAATCTCAGAGAGAACCCCCATAAAATTGTCAGGCCTTAGGGTTAGCCCTAGGTGGATTGGTTTTGGTCAGGCTTACACATACACTTGAACCTATCATAAACTCGCACATCTCCAAACCCTAAAGTCACTTACACTGGACCTAGCCCCTGACTCCTTCGGAAACTCATATGGGTGGTTCCCAAGTTCTTAGCTTTTGGCTAGAGTGGCTAGAACCAACATATGGAAGATCCAAAATGAGTTCTCCTATGGAGCTTATGACTTTGAAAAGGCTTCTCATGGCTTGCATGATCACTGCACCCTCAAATTACCCCCAAAATTTTTAAAAAATGCCAAAAGTTGTCAAAATTTCCAAGTTCACTCAAGGCTCCTCCAAAACCAATTTAAACCAATTCAAAGCCAACCACATTAAATTCCAAGCCCAATTTTAACCAATTCACCCAAGTGCCCCAATTTTCACCAAAATTACCGAATTTCCCTAAAATTGCCCAAATATTCAAAATTCCTAAAACTGCTCCAATTTCCACTAAATTCACATCAAATCCACCCAATTCAAAATTCAAAGTCAATTTTACCAATTTCCAAACCCAAATTTAAACTCAAGCCAACCCATCACAAATTGACCCTAAATCCAATTTCCACCAAACTAAATCCATGAGCCAAAATCAAACCCAAATGCAAATTCAAGTCTAAGTCTTACCACGACAAGTCCTAAAATTCACCAAAGCCCAAAATTATTCTTCTCATCTCTTGATTAAGAGCCCATCATAATTAAATTTCAAAAGCCCACCTTACCTAATTTTAAAAGCCCATGTTCAAAAAATTCCAAAAAGCCCATCATCCTAATTCAATTCAAAAGCCCATATGACAATTTCACCTTCACCATCCATTTAATTAAATCAAACATCAAACCATAGAACATGCCATGTTATAATTAAAATAATCCAAAATTGGATTTATACCAACACGCTACTAAAATCCTCAAAATTCCTAAATCCATCTTCATGAAAGTTGGCCAAGCCACATGCAAGCCATGGAGCCTTCTCCAAGTCATAGTGGAGCCATATGAGTGATGGAAAGTCCACCATGCCCTAAGGAGAAAAAGGAGAGCCTCCTTTCACCTCCCACTAAAGTGACTTAACCAAAACCCTAACCCTACCAAATTCATATTCCTCATGCCAAATCAATCACCCAAGCCTCTAGAAGTTGACCCATCATCTCCAACCACTTTGAACATGACTCCAAACCATTTCCATGGGGTTAAACCCATGGTTAACCCAACCTAACCAAAACTCATGACCATTTTGGAAAATTGCAATTACTCATGCTTGAACGATATTGATTTCACATCTCCCCAATTCCGACCTACCACAGTGTGGAGGTGACTTTGCTTGGTTGGCCAACCACCCTAGCCGCCGTAAAACACCATGGCCGAGGGGGACCACGTGGCAAAAACCTAAAATTAGACCCATCCAAGTTGGCTCAATCCAATTGATCACTTGCCCTCTTCTTCTCTCCACATAAGCGAGCTTTTGAACACCTCAGCTTGCCCAATTGAAGCCCCTTCCTCCTTTATAAATAAGCCACCACCTCACGACCAAAGAAAGGAGTGCTCAAACATAGGCGAAAATCTGCCAAAATCATTCCAAACTCCCATTGAAATCACACGAAGCTCACTCTAACCGTTTTTTTCCCCTCTTCTCTACTTAGGAACCTTAATTTCACCACTGAAATTTAATGCCTTTTCGACCGTTCCACAAAACCTCAAACTTATTATCCCAAAAGCTTCCCCACACTTCAAAATCAATTCCCTAATGGAAGCCCTGTCATCCGAGCACCCTATCATAACCCTAGACCAAACCCGATCCACCCTTCGATTGAAGTTATTTGTGGGCCCAATACTAGACAAAATTGAAGCTTGGAGGACGTTCGTCAGACCAAAGCGAAGCTTAGTAACCAATCCAATTGAGGCTACACCTCTTTGACAAAGGTATGGATAAAAATCCCTAATTTTGCTCTCGGTTTAGGAAATTGTAAAGAAAACTTGTATTTCATATGCATGTAACCATATAGATAGGTTGGTCTCGCCTAGATGAAGCTGTAAGCACAAACCACACTTAATTTGGTTTAGTATCTAGCAAGATCTTACGCCTAGAAAATGTGTAGTTCTCGGGTCAATTTTATCGGGGACGATGAACGAATGTCGTTCGTTCGCGCTTGAATTAAACGGACGACTCAGATAGTGTCGAACGAAGGAACAACCCGTGAATGTGGAGTCACGTGGTAGCTGATGCGGATGACAACATCAAATCAAAATGCGACGCGTTGCTTTTTGGTGCGTACAAGAATAGAGTCATCGCTGATGTAAATAAGTAGATAAATAGAGGTATTTCTGATTTAAATAATTGTAGAAACTTAAAAAATGCATAACTTGGTGTAGAAAATAACAAAAATAAAATGAAAAATACTCATTTGCTCAGTGAACAAAGGAGACCAATGTGGTCTAAAAACAAAATAAATATTTGACTAATATTTATTTTTAAATTAATTAAATATTCTAAAATTTCTTTAAATCATAATTAATTAAATATTAATAAAAAAAATTGTGAAATTTGGAGGGTTCATTCCTCATATGTTAAGGGATGTTATCTAGTTTTTTTAAAGTCAGAGAACACCTATAACATTGAAAACCCTAATTTTCAAAGTGAGCCACCCTTATTTTTACAAAAATTGGTTTGGTAGGTTCACTGTGGTCATAGAAACGTAAGAAAAATAAAAATAAAAATTAAAAAAATTAAAGTCTATTTTCTCATTTTAAAATTAAGAAAAATACCAAAAATTAGAAAAATACAAAGTAATTCAAAAAATCACCAAAATATCCCAAAATGAAAGAAATGGTTTTTTAATGTCCCTGTAAATTTGGAAGCTAAATACATTACTTTTAATATCAAAATGTATCTTCCAATTAATTAAGAATTTTTACTTAAAGTGTTTCTCAAGTCCAGAGATACCTGAGAAAAATAAGATTGAAATAAAAATAAAAAGTTTATTTTTAGCCCATTTCCTTAATTAAATAATCAAATAAAAATGCAAAAAATCACAAAAATACCCAAAATGTGTTAACATGTCATAAATCACCTCATGATTGAAGAAAACACCTTTAAAATTTTTCTATGAATTTTTGGGATTATAAAATGTACTTTATGTAATTAAATGAATTTTCCTACATTTTTTACTTTAAAAATTAAAAAAATATATAAAAATCAGAAAAATATAAAATTAATTTCTCTGAGTTCTCTGAAGTGAAAGAGATTGAAAAAAAATATAAAAAAAAAAGTAATTTTACAAATAATATATATTTTATATTCATTTATTCATTAAAATCAACAGTAATTATAATAGTTAAAGTATAATTTAAAAAATCATGAAAATTGGCCTTAGTGATCCTCTGACCCATGTGAACCTCCTAAAATTTTTTTAAAAACAGAGGGTGTGTTTTAATTAACTAAATGAATTAACTTTAAAAATCCTTATTTTTGAACCAAAATGGATTTTACCATTTTTTTTTAAATTTAAATAACAAAACTAGTTATTTATGTTGTGACGCGAGATTAGAAAAAAAAAGGAAAACTATTTACCAAATGACAAATACATCAATATAATTTTCTATAATTTATTTTAAAGAAATTGACTTTGAATACCTGTCACCCAAATCTATGTAAACAGCTTGGCATTACAAACATATCACCCAATTTTATGTAATTTATATACTCTATTATTTATATTTATACAACCCAAATCACTCGTATCACATAGGAAAAACATCACTATTATAAAGAAATTCAGTTTACATACATCCCACCCAATTTTATTTATTCAAGTACCTAACGCATGAACTTTATTTGTTTACATTTATACCATCAAAATCATCCAAATCACATAAAACATCACCATTTTAATTTTACGAAAATAAAATACACATTTTCATGCATAAATTAAATAACATGTTAAAATTGAATTTTAGATATTAAATAATTAAATACATAAGAATTAATGATATGTAAATCTTATGTACTGTCATTTTTAAATACATTTATAATTTATTAAGTCATCTGATTTAACCTCCAGTTCAACCCGATTCAACATTTGAACCTTGAATCTCTCCTATCAGTCCAATGTCCAGTCCAATTTTCAAAACCTTGATGAGTACTATATAGCTCATTAAGAAAATAATTCCGGATTTAACTTGTACTTTTATACTGTTGGACTAAAGTTGACACCTACAAAAAAAAAATGAGGGGACCATTTTGACACTAATTAAAAGTGAAAGAAAATAAAAAATAAAACATCATCAAAGACATTATGATTAATAAGTTAATAATATGGCAAAGTTAACAGTAGCATAGGAACTAATATCATCCACACAAAAATATACTGAAACGTTTAACACAACTCACAACCAAATTTAAGATTAAAAAGTAAAGCAACTATAAAATTAATTCAAATCTATATACAAAACAAGCATCTACAAGGATAAATGAAGCATTTTCAACAATGCCTGCAAAAATTCATTTAATAAAACATTTCTAATGATAAAGTTACAAAAAATTGCAAATGGAGGCTTTCACAGGGAGCTGTAGGATAACCGAATAAGGTTTTACAAATCAAACGTATCTTGTGCGTTTTCTCTTCTTGTCTAATTTGGATTTATACTTCTTGCCATTATTTTCAGCCATTTTCTCGCTTGTATCATCAGCCATTAAATGCTCAAAATCTTCAAGGCTTGCAAATGGAGAAGGTCTGTTCTTCTTTGCAGACTTCATCTTCTTCCTCCCATTATAAGTGGGATTTTTATTTCCATTATCATTGTCATCACCATTATCTCCGTATGTATCAGCTCCCCAAACTTCAATATCACTAGCATCCCCATTTTCCTCCTCCTCAACATCATTGTCATCTGCAGCAGCATCAGATGTCTGTTCATCTTCTGCATCACTGCCATGTCCAAGCAAGTCCTCATCATCTTCTTCAATAACACGGCTAAGATCACCGTAGTCAAATTCTCCTTCTTCCTCTCCCAAAGGAAGAGGCCCTGCGCCAAGCATGTTGTCAATCTCTTCATCGTCTTCCTCTTCCCCATCTTCCTCCTCATTTTCATCGAAAAGTAGATCTGCACCCTCATCCTCGTCGTCAGCTGAGGCTGCCTTCTTCTTCTTCAGCTTTTTGGAAGAACTTGTTTTGTTCATGTAGAAGCGGTGGAAGACCACATCTTCGGGTGGTACTTCTTCCTCTGCTAGCTTTAGAATTTCTTCCCCAATCAAATGATGACCCGTGTCAAGCTGCGAGAAGATGAAAGATAATCAGTTAATAGTAGGATGAAAAGTTAAAAAGGGGCATTTACATACATACCACATAATTCTCATCTATTTACCTATCTAACACCTAAACCTTTATATTTGGATGCATCACACTTGAATCCTTATAATCAAATCAAAAATACCACCATCACTAACTTATTAAAAATGCAATGCATATATTCATGCATAGGCTTATGACATCAATGTGTTATAAGTGTAAATATCAAACTTTGGGTGTTAGATATGTAAATACATTAGAATTGTATGGTATGCATCTAAATTTCCATATTAATAGTCGGAACAGAATGTAGAAATTTGAGATACATGCGTATCTGCAAGAACAAACTCTTGGAGAGTACGGGAGTAGGTAATATTAAGAAAAACATGGATGCATAACCAACAGGTTAAGAAAGATATGTTTTCAAAGCAAATTAACAGATTTGATTAAATGCTACAATAACTTGATCCAACAAAAAGCATTCATTTATTCCACCAGATATTTAAGTAAACTGTTTGATGTCAGAAATAGGAGCGATTAAGGATTGTTATCAAGCGCCAAATTTCAGTGAGCTTTTCTCAACTAAAAATCAAAGATTTTAATCCCAGCTCGTCAAAACTAAAATACATTAAAATAAATATTAATTTCAAGTCAACTCTTTAAGCCGGGCCATTTATTTAAAGAAATACAAAAGATACTTATAAAACACAAATTTGCACTATAAAAAATTATTAAAACTAACTAATTAATTAATTAATTAAAAAGCTAAACTATAATTGACACATCAGTGCACAAAGATGGAGAGAATTCTTATATAAATTATGTAATACATGCACATGTGGATATTAATCATTGAGCTGAATTAGTTTTTAAGGGGTCATCCTTAATGACAAGGGAGCGCTCCCGCTTCGAATGCGGGACCCGGGCTACACGGCTCCTGAGATCTCAGGAGATAGGAAGACGGGCCGATTCCATCCCAATTTTCTTTTCTATGCTTGATTTCCTATTATCATTCATTCCTTTTTAGTTTTCTTATATATGTGTTGTATTACGATTTGGAAGTCGGTCTTTTGGTGAGAGTTTGCTTAGGACAACCGCCAACATTAATTTACCCCTTGAGGGATCTATCTGAGGTTTTGGGCGGTGCTCTGAATGTATCTCACTCCCGAGGTGATGAACATCCTTACCTTAACCTTCCGCAATATTCCCACATCGATCTCTATCATCCTTTTCCTGCTGCAACCGCCGGAATAGCAGTTTTTGATGTGTTTCCTGCCGTTCCACTAATTTCAACCACCTCCCTCCCTTTCCAGGCTTGCCGCCGCCCAACATTGCCAGGCTCCCCCAACCTTCCCGCCTTGCTTCCTGCCTTCTTCCTTCACGGTCGATGTTCAGAACTACAGTCCAACCTGCTCTTCTGCCTTTCCAGCCTTCATTCCAACTTGTTGCTGCCTAGACTGCATCATATCCTGTGATCCCTGTATCCCCCACTTGTTGCCCCTTGCCACAATACATTTTCCCCGCATTGTCGTCACCCGGAACAGCCAACTTGCTGTTCTCCGGCCTCTCAACCGCCCTACATGTGTTGCCGCCCCAAAAACAGCCATCCATACGCCTCCCACATTCTTTCCACAAATCCTAGCACTAACCACCTGTTTTCAATCCTTCCAGCCAACCACCACCATCCTGGGATCGACCCCAACATGAGTTTATGTGTCGCTTTGTTGTATTTGCTCTTTCAAGTGTTTTTGATTGTAACCGTCTATTTATTTTCAATGGTAATATTTAATTTTTTTAGTGTTGTTTGGGATAACTCTAGTATCACTTGAGTCAAAGAAAATGAATTAGATTTAAAATACAGGGAAAATTACTATCTAGTACACAATTCATATGTATATTTACGTATCTCGCATCTAAACATTCATAGTTACATACATAGCATTTTGATATTTTAAAACTATTCATGAAAAATGTGTATTTCACTTATAAATAATGGCAATAGTGCTACTTATATGTGATATTAAGGATTTGAGTGCTATGTGTATAAATATAAAAGTTTAGGTGCAAGATGTGTGAATACATTAGAATTGTGTGCAATGTATGAAAATGCCCAAAAATATAAGAGCAAGTTTTAAGATTTAAATGTAATCATAAAGCCAATTAAAACTGACCTTCTTTGTTGGCGCGATTTGCGATCCACCATGCCATATACCCTCTGCTTTCTTATTAGGCCTCGGTTTCTTTTCCATTAACTTGTCAAGAAATGCTCCTAGTGACAAATCATTCAAAGGATCGCCATTATAAACTATGTTTTCACCAGAAAGTAGTGTCTTCGCCATAGCTGCCACAGATGGGTGCACATGAGAAGCTAAGATTGTCAACTCCCACAAGCCTGTCCGATCTGCATTGCTGTAAAAAAAGTTCCAACAATAATAATTTAGTATTTGCAAAACTGCACTATAACAAATTATTCATCATAGAAACGAATAAATTCATAATGACAAATACATATAACCGAGAACAGCTAATGAAAATGATTTATACTATTATTTCACAAGGAACAAAGATGCTGCAATACAAAAACAAAAAACACAAAAGCTAATCACTCATTTCTAAATTCAAAAATGGCAACTGAATGTGGAACAGCATATCAATGTGTAAGAAATTGCAATTCTACAAAATATGCCAACCCAATCTTGTATGATTTATTAGTATACAAAATCGACCTCACCCGAGATTAATATCAGTGTTGAAAAAATGTTTCAAGCATCAATATATTTTATATATTCATATCCCTAGAAAAATTCATTCTCAATGAGTCGAAAGTAAATGGCAGTGTGCATCACAGCACTTGTGCTCCCCAAACAGGTTGAATTTAAGGGGAATGGTTGTTAAATCACATGTCTGCCAACAAACTCAAATAAATAAAGAAATAAAATAAAACAAAAACTTCTCAAACCACATTTGGGTTTACGTGGCGTGGAATTTGGAATGATTTCACTGTTAGGTAGAAAATGCAGTAACAGAAAATATATTTATAGATTTATGTAAATTAACATTTTTTTCCTTACCCCATTTATTGCATCAATAAAACAACTAATGCACACAGGCAGTTGTATTTCTTTTGTGTTATCAACAAGCAAACGACTAGCAACACAAGGATGATTGAGACTGGCAATTAACCTTCTTAAAACCAATGTGAATACACGTGATTAAAACTTTGACTTTTTAAATGAAAACATGTTTTCATGGCGCAAAAACAAAACGAGCACATAAATGGGGGATGAAACAATTACCAATAAACTGGTTCTCTGTGCCGTGGATCATAACCACCAGGCAATGATGATCCTTTGTGATGTGATTGAGCTTCCTCTGCAGCACGATCATTAGCACTTCTTGCGTTGGGACCATTGTTCAGATTGTTTTCCTTGTCAGAATCGGAATCCTGTTGTGATATTTTTCCTTTTTGTGCGACAGAACTGTTTAGTGTTGCATTCTTCGCAGGAGGCATGTTTTGTTCCTCCTCAAGAATGTCTTCAAAATGTTCAAGTTCATCATCAATGGAGTCCTGCAGTATCACTCTCCTGAAAGTCCACTCAATGTTTGTTAAATCATAGGACACAGGAAACATCAAAGTTCAAAATGATTAGTGTAAAAATAATCCCCAAACTCTTTGCAATGGATGATTTTAAGACCAGTGTTTACAATAGTGTCAAATTAGTCCTCTGTGGAGATTATTTCAGCCCATATTAAAAAAGTCTGGGGACTAAATTAGCATTTTCATAAACTCTGGGGCTAAAATGATCCTTTGCAAAGAGTCAGAACTATTTTGACACTTATCTCAAAAGGATTATGATTACAACTTCTTTCTCAAGCAGCATACCATAAAGGTGGCTTTGCTTTAAGAACCTCCGATAATAGAAAGAGGCATCCACAAGCATATTGAGGAGGCCGCTGAAGTGCAACCTGTTAAATTACCAGGGTAATACCTTGAGGCACTAGGATAAAATAGGTCAAAACATTTCAACACTATTGAACAAGTGATAATAAATAGGAAAATTTACATACATATCACACACTTCATTTGTATTTACATATCGAATACCTAAAGTTTAATATTTACATCTATAACACTTTGGTGTCATTAACCTATGCATGAAAATGTGTACTTCAATTTTAAAAGTTAGTAATTGTGATATTTTTTTACGTGATACAAAAGATTAAAGTGTTATTTATGTAAATATGAAAGTTTAGGAGTTAGATATGTAAACACAAAAGATTTATGCGGTATATGTAAATTCCCCAAATATATATGGAATGAAGAAAAAAAACATTGACAAAAAAGTTGAACAGGGTGACCATTTTTCTTTTCATAATATTGTGAAACTAGCACATGATGCATGGAGAACAAATAATAATAGAGATATTCTACTAGAATAAATACCGGGGAATTACATGCATAGCACTCGAAATATTATTATTTAAAAATCAAGCGCACTCTTTCATCCACTTTTTACATTTGACAAAAATACCAAAATGCACGATAGAATTTTTAATTTTATAAAACTCTCAGTAGTTTGACTGTGGCAGACGTAAATACTTTAGTTCGACAGCTCAAAAAAAATCATATGAGAGCTAGTTTTTTAAATAACAATGTTTCGAGTGTTGTGCATGTAGTTATCCCTAAATTTAATGATAACTTGCAAAAAAAGGATGAGGATTCATACATATGCACATTCTACAAAAGCATATGGTTTTCCATCAATAAGAAAGAATTTAGAGAAAATTCTATGAAGCTAAAGGCTAGCAAGATTAGAAAAACTACTTAAAAGGAAAAAAAAGATGTATCCATTCGAAATAACATGAAGAGAAAATGAGCATATTATACACATTCATGACCAGAATAAAAGAGCAAGGCTTTTCTCCTCTTCTTTACTTCCAGAACTCAAAAATATTTAATGATTGCTCTGAGAAATTAAGAACCAACCTGCATGAGACGCTTCGAAAAGGCGGATACTCTCCTCATATTTATGTCATTCTTCATTGCTCTTACTAACAGTCCAAGGAACATCTCTGGCTGAAAAGTATAAAATATATTAAGAAAATAGTACAATTTCGGATGGCATAAAAAGGACTAGTTTGAAAAGGTAAACTTTTTAGATTAAAGGAAAAAATATTTAAATTGGTGCAATTTTTAAAACAAAATGATGTTTCAGATGCTATGGCTGTGTTCTTGATAGGCTAAAGACCTAACATCATTTTTAGCTCAAGCTAAATGATACCGGATCTAACCCAAAACACAAGAAATAATAATATTATTACTGAAATTCAAAAGTTAAAACGACAACTCTTCAAAACAGAAAATAAACAACAAACAAATACAAACAACACCCTAGTTGAAGGACGAGGGTGGTGGCTGACGGCTGGACAGCAGGTGGGAGGGCCGGTTTGGGGCTTGCGACAGTAACTGGCTGCATTGAAGGAAGTTATGGCAGCAATGGAATGGCCTGCAAGGGGTTACGGTGCAGTGAGGGTGGCTGGACAGCATTCTGTAGCCAGCTGGTTGTGGGAGACGTGAGGGAGTGGCCTACGGCAGCAGATATGGGAGAGACATGTTGATACTGCAACTGGGGATAGGCCATAATGGACTAAGAAAGCAGTTTGGGGGAGGGATGCGGTGTTATGGAAGCAGGTTGAGATGTGGAGAGGCTGACTGCTGGAAGGACAAGCTATGGGAAGTGCCTAGAGCTTGATGGGTGGAAAGCTGGCAGGAAACAAGAAGGGCAGAAGGATTGACGGCTGGAGTAGAGCAGTGCGAGACAACTGCTGGCAGCAGGGAGAAGGTAGGGGAGAAGGATTACGAAGGGAAGTTGGAATACAACATCAGGGGGGTGGTGCGTTTCCTGAAATGGCAGAAAGTTTCCCTATGTTGGTAGTGGCGATGCTGGGCAAGCGGAGTAGGAGATAATCACCTTCGGAGGAGAGGCAAACAACCGGAGCATCACCCTAACTATCGGATATAGGAAAATAGGAGGCGGACGGCTGTCCTAACAAACTGAAATTAGAAAATCCAACATAAGTTGAAACCCTAAGACCTAAAAACACACATAAAAAGAAGAGGGACGGAGGGAAAAAATAACATACAGGAAGGGGGGACAATTGCCGCCTAATGAAAAGAGGGAGAGGGGTCAGTTCAGCCCCCTTTCTCAACTTAACTAGTTCGGGCCAAACTGGTTCAGCTTTTAGAGGAAAACCCCCATGTCACTATGGATCCCTTTTGATTATGGAGTGGGCGCCTAACAGGTTATGTAAAGTTGATACATATTAAAATGAAACTCGGTCTGAAATGAAAATTAATGTCATTCGATTACAAAATTATATTATTCTACTATAGAATATTAAGAAGTATTATTAAATTGCAAATGTGTGTAAATTGAATTGGTATACATATCTGAGCCACATTAAAAAACTTGTTTCTATGTCGTAAATTGAATTGGTATACATATCTGAGCCATAATATTAAAAAGCTTGTTTCTATGTCTTTACTTCAGAATATAATGGAGCAAGTTTTTTGTCGTTTGAAACTTGTATGTTCTAAAACAAGTAACTTCTACTATTATTGTATATATTATTCCAAGAAATATTAGAAAATAAAAGAGTATGTATACTTTCATTTATTACTCTTCTAACAAACATGTGATTTTCGGAACTAAATTTTCTTTTTCATACTGAACCAAGAACTTCAATGATGATTTTTGTAGGGTTCAATTTTATCTTGTTACTTTATTTTCTTAGAGTGAAGCGGAGGTATCTGAAACAATATTATAATTGTGTCATATGTAATGTTAAATATTGCAAGAATATACAATACTTCGACTCTACGAATGTGTCATTTTGTTAAATATAACAGCTCGGACATAATTTAAATTTAGCAGCTTTAATTTGTTATTAATAGTGATCATTAATGTATAATTTAGATGTAAATGAATACTTCCCTAATATCAATCTATAAAAGTCATCTCATATAGTAGTTATGCTGCCAAAACTAATTGGCGTTTAACAATATAATAATGTCAAAAGAAACTATTGCAGAAAACAAGCTTATTCCATGGAATGAAACTCGGATTACAAATAGAATGGAGATTGCTAAGTTGTACAAGAAATTTTGCTGTCTTCCTAAATATCAGAAATCCAATCTCATTAGACTTCTTCAAGCAAACATTAAAAAAAAAATAATTATGTGCTTCAACAAACATCAACTTCAGCCATTATCAAATTAATATGTGTTAGCTTTATGAATACTTCTCTTCCACTTATTTCTGGTTATTTCATGAAGTGATGAGTCTCTTTAGCTCAACCTTTTTATACAAAACTTCAAAGAAAAGAACCACTTAAAAACAAAGATGTTGATGTGGACTACTTTTTCTATGCTCTCTCCTGCTTATTGTTACTGATATCAGAGCTAGGAAAAATAGTGGAAACATAAAAGAAAACATTTATAAATATAGAAATAGGGTTACAATACGACACAAATGGAAAATGGAAATACAATAACAATCCAATCTCCGGTGAGAACAGGGAGAGAAGATTCGAGGGTGATGAGGAAAATACAATAACAACAACTAATGACAAAACATGTAAACATTGAAATAGATAAAAATAATAATTTTTTTTAGAGCATACTATGACAAAAAATCAAAATAGATTGAATTTCTTGGTTCATTTACGCCATGAAATCATGAGAGAGCTTCTACTCTCATACTTGAACAAACTTAATAAGTTAAATACATAAATAAATAAAGTTTATGAAATGTTTAAAACGAAGGATGCAAATACCTTAGAAGAGCTCACAGCAGCAGGAGTGAGAAGCTTAGCATACAAAGCGCGATAAAAACGGTCACTTGCAATTTGATTTTTAGCAGTAATCTGATACAACAGCATCAATGCCTGAACTCCTACGTTAAAGTTCTCAGAGTGGGCCTGTATGAAAAATTTACAAAATCTGGCAAAGGTGTGTGGGGAACACATCATGATTGCTCAAATATAAAATTTAGAAACATTTACATATATATCAACCAATTTTTACGTATTTACATATCTAAAACCTAAATTTTACATTTTACAATTATACCAGCCAAATGTTTAATTTTTACGTATATGCATATCTAACACATAAATTTTACATTTAACAATTGTACCAGCCAAATGATTCATATTGCATCAAAAATACCACCATTTTAACTTTTAAAAATTAATAACTACATTTCATGCATAGGTAAGGTGGTACATATGTAAAAATTGAAGCTTAGGTGTTAGATACGTAAATACAGAGGAATTAATGGTATGTATGCAAATCTTCCAAAATGCTAACGTCAAATGCAGTTTGTGAACTCACCAATTTATAAAGAATTGGCGTTTGAACCTCTAAAATATCATCAGCTTCCACACTTGAAACAAAAGGAAATGCCCTATTAACTCCCTGCATTATTTTAAGCATGCATCATTGCTCAATCCTTAATGTCACCATAAATAAGAGATTAGTAACGAGATTTTAGTTCAACTGTGAAATGTAATGATGTAAGGCAAAAACCAAATCAAGTAAATGTGCGATAAAACTAAAAATAATCATGTAATTTCACAAAAAAAAAAAAAAAAAAAACCCAAAGTTCATTTCAAGCAAGCACCAAAAGAATATATACTTATCCTTCGTTGAAATTTTCTAATATTCTACAGGGTTGATGCCAATCCATGAAATAAAAGGTTCCTCCGCCATGATCTATGATATTTAATGTGCGCTGATAAAAAAATGCAAAGCAGTATATTGCATAACCTTTGAATTAAAATTAGCATATAAGCACGACCAAACACAACAAATATGATTATTATCACAATGAGCAGATTTACCTACAGTTAGTAATGCAGATAAAAGTCGTGAATCCATCTCAACATGGGAGGTCTCTTGAAAGGCCGTTTTATTACTTCCCAGAGAGCTAACTTGCTTTCTCTTGAATTTTCTACCTTTCCTTCCGGATTTTCCAGTTCCTTCATCACTTATCTTGTTGTCATGCATGTTTCCATTGCCAGATTCAAAAATTAGCACCTACAATACCAAAATAAATTTTTCTAGGAATCAGGCTTAAGCAATTGTCAGAAATAATGCACGAAATTTACGAGAAACGCTATAATTTTGCTTTCTAAGTGAAAAGAAACACAGAGTATAAGACAAACTGTGAGAACAATACTGAACTAGAGAATAGAAAAGAAAATTAGCAAACTCTCTACACAAAAGATTATAGCAAACTCAAGTTAACTGAAATTGATTTTCAATACCATTTGCAATTCAACAGCTATTCTAGCAGAAAAAGCATGAAAAAAGATCTGAAACAAATAAAGTCAAGATAATATAAGATGTTTCAGATATAAACTTGTCAATCAAAAGAGGTTTGAGGGTCAGTAAACTATTCAATTAATGAATGCTTGAATTCATGCAGATCATTCAAAAATTTGGAAAATCAAAATATATCAAACAATGCAAGAAATATGTTCATATAAAACTATTTCACTTTTCAGAAACCCAACCATTAAACCATATGTGCAGAAAAAGTTTCCTGTTGGAAAGGAACAGAACTGAGAGATGTGTCAATGAAGTATGGTCCAGGACATGTATCACCGCATGCATTATGGATTTTAAAATAACAAATTGTAACTTTAGCCATGACAATTACTCCATAAATTTCTACAGTAGGGGCACAAACTAAACAGATTACATTCGATAATAAAGGCAGCCACTAATTGTTTCCAACATCTTAAATGCATCTAAAGCACTAAAGCATCCGAACAAGCACTGTGACCACTTAGATTACTTGTAATTGCTGCAAAGTTGGCATCAAAAACAAGAGTAGTAATAAAATTAGTTATGATTATGAATTATTTTATAAAACAGAGCCATTGTTTAATGATAAAGATTCGGCAAACTTCATTTATTCTTTCTCCAACTTGGCTATAGCTGCAAATTTAGCAGATTCTGGTTTTCTCCAATTACCGTAGCAGTTGCACGAGTGAAATTACCTTCTGAAACCTTGCAATTCATTTTCAATGGCTGCACATGGCCTATAAAATAGTTGGTGGAATCAAAAGCAGCTTTTGAAGTGAATTACAAGGGTCAAATAGCATAGTTACGTAAGTACAATTAATATGATAATTGGCAGACATTACACCATAAAAAAAAAACTTTATTCCAAAAGGTACTTAACTAAATACGGACAAAGGCTTTGTAAAAATAAAGATATTTTTTTCCAAATTTTAATCAACAAAAGCAATAAAAAACTATTATATAAATTTATTGCCAAATTAATGCAATTTGACATAAAAAATTAAACAATTAAACATGAATAGCTTAATTTTTTATATATTTTGATGTGAATTATTTTTGAAAAAAAGAACAAAAGTCATTATTACCTTGTTATTATCCACATTCTTTAGAAAATAAGACAATAGAAAATGTCATTTTAAATGGTCCCAAATAACTATTTTAATAGTCATTCTTCTCCCACATATATACTTTTTTTATAAAACCTTATTACAAATGCGATTTCTCAATTTATGGTTGCCATATATTAGTGTAATTTGGTGCATGATATACATTTTTTATTATTCATATAATAAGTTGTTTCATATTTATACATTATATTATAAATCAAATAAGCATTACATATAATAAATTATGAATAACAAATATTATTAATATAAAATTTATTATATAAAAATGTAAACATTAATTGTAAGCTTTAAACATTTAAAACATAATTTATGTGAAATCAATAATTTAGTAATAAATTACAGGTGTTTGCAAATTAAAAATTAAAATATTTAGACCTTTTAACATTCTGTTGCAGATTTTTGAACAGTTTTTTTTTGTAGATCTACGCAAATAAAAGTGGCGAGATATAAGGCAAAGATCTAAGTTTGTCAATGCTTATAACAAAAGCGTTTAAAACTGTAAAAATTATATATATATTACATATAAACACGCTCGCACGCCCACAAAGATTACGGTAAATGGCACTATAGTAAATTTAAATGTGTTGAATATGTTAAAAAATGGCAGAATGGGATATCTGAAAGTTAAATATTGGGCAGCTTGGGAGTTTGGAACCTTGCGTCTTGATAGGTACATGTTAAATAAAGGAAATATGGAACCACAGATTACCCTTATATGCCGGCATTGCAACAGAGACCTATATATATTTGATATTAAAGCTGTAAGAGGGGTAAGAATTTGGAAAATTAAACATAAATAAATACAAACTTCCGCAATTTTTTATATTTAAAGAAGATTTAAGAAAATTTGAAACCAAATTCAACCATGCAGATTGCATTAGAGATTACAGTTTCTTAACAGTTCTGACTTCAATGGCAACTATAATTTCTGTGAAAGCTAAAAAGCAAACCAAATTATTTTCGCGAAAGCTAAAAAACAAACCAAAGTTATTTTGTCCAGTCCTTTTAGGAGCTGTTAAATGTTACCATTAAAAAGTGTTCACTGAAACAGATCCAACCATAATGTGGCCCTAACATGAAATTGAAGTTACTTCCATCAATTCTTGAGCTTCTTTACTTATTTAGCATGCCGCTATTGAAAAAGCATCTAACAGCATCCCAGTACACTCCGTTACGTAAGGAACTTCATGCAAAATGCACTTCTACGAAGCTAGTTAACTCACTTTGCTATTTGTAAAAATTAGGAAAATTTGCAATAAAGGATTAGGGTATAGAACTTATTGCATTTCACAGTAACACGAAAATTCATGAAAACTTGAATTGCTACGGAGGAAAATAACTTGAAATAAAAAAAAAAGATATCTTAAATAAATAAATTTACTAAAAAGATAGCATTTAATAACTTGGAAAACTATTTTCCTCGGTATTGAATCTTCCAGTTTCCTCTAAATATATATTAGATCAAACATGCTAGAAGTTTACCTTGAATAGTGCGAAGTAGAGCTCCACCAAGCGTTTTGCTATTTTAGGACCATCTCCTCTTTTACTGAGATGAACTTGACACAAAAAGTTTACCTGCAGTTATACGTAAGGGTGGAATCTTCAGGTTGTTTTAATAACACTGAGGTAAAACCTTATTCTAATAAAATCCACAGCTGGAAATTAAGAGTATTTTTTTTGCGGAGAGAAACAATTCAGAAGATCATGAATAAACAATGTGATTCAAAAACAAGTTATGACTATCATATATGCAAAGTGGTTAAAAGCATCGCAACCACCAATTATACTCCAAGTGAGGTGTGTCAAGAAACAAGCAAATAGACGCAGAAAAGAATTAAGATTGCTTGAAATTCAAAAAAAGAAAGAACATTCAGACCCAAACCATGCAAATCTTAGTATCTGCATATCTAACACTGAAGTAAAAATTTTGAACTAGAAAATCTATATATTTCAATTAGAAAATCTATGTATTTGAAGGTGTTGCGATGAAAACATAGGGAGCTAAAAAAGTAGGTTGGGATGTTGAGAATTGGACAGAGGAATGAGGGCACTAATTTTGCAAATAACAAATATTTACTTGTGAAAAAAATTGGTCCAAAAAAATATCAAAAGAGATCAAGAAAAGCATTCTAAATTAAGTTTCTAGTGTTCCAATATTGATCTTAAATAAAACGTTTAAGAATTGGGAAACTTTCCTTAATAAGATCAAGAGAAAAAACCAAAACGGAATCTGGCAATGGAAAAATAGGTAAGAGCATAGGTTGTTAAAAACATAATGTTAACTAGTTCTCAAGCCTTCAACTTGACAGAACTAAAAAATACAGAAGAAACATACAGCATAGTATTTTGCACGAAGTCCAATATGTGGTCTAAACAAAAATGAATCCACCTCATTAATAACTGTTGCCTGCAGCAAGAAAAATTAAACATAGGTAAGAGAAACATCAAGACATCTATGATGCATTGACAAAATAAAGAATAATGAAACATGTCCATTCAATGAAAGATCATTCTGTACACAACCAAATAAGCTTATTCTGCTACAGATTGAAGCCACAATGTATGAATTACAAGACCGACCTTACCTTCATATTAGGATGCTCAGAGAGGAGACATGATAATTGATAACCAGCATTTGATGCTGCCTTCTTCTCTGGATCTCCCAACTATGCAAATGAACAAAACAAAAATGATTAAATTCCATTTCATAGCAGTAAATTAGCATGATCCCACTATTTAATAATTACAAAGGGAGAATCTTTGCATTTAAAACTAAAATCAAGATTTACAAATGAAAGTTCACGCATTTAGGTTCCAAATATGAGAATAAAAATAACGAAAGATAAAACATGTAGAACTTGAAATTCCAGCCCCCTACATTTCGAGGGACTGGAAGAACACTCACTTTATTTACTAAAGAACAAAGCAATCTTCGGTCCTGTTCAGGCTTGCTCTTCAAGAGAGCATAAACTGTCTGGACAATGGGAAAAATAAAGAACAGATCAAATTGAATGTTTATCAAGAGCATGAACTGAAAACTCAATTATTTTCCATTAAGCCAAAGAAAAATCATACTCTAAAGCATGCAAAATTAAGAAAGTAATTTTCACATACAAACCGTACCAATGAACTGCCACAAAAATAATAAGCTATCCCAAAATAATGAATGGAACAAATATTTGAAATTGAATGTGTTTGAAAGTTCATATTTTGCTAGATGAGTAGCAAAAAAACCAATTGCAAGCAGTATCTTTTGCATTCTAATGTCATATGCAAAACTACACTTCACATCTTAGCTTTTAGTACTGGAAGTGATACGTGAGCTCAGGTCGCGGTATTGTAGCAGCTACAATACCAACAACAACAACAACAACAAAGCTTTAATCCCACTACGTGGGGTCGGCTACATGAATCCTTTTTCTCCATTGTTCCTCTTTAGTGTCATATTTTCAGCTAGTTCTAATAAATTAACATCATTTTTTATACAATAAGCCCAAGTCTTCCTAGGCCTACCTCTGTCTTTCTTAACATAAGTCTAATCTAAAACATCTACTCTCCTAATCGGATCATCAGATGGTCAACGTTTAATGCGAACAAACCATCTAAGACGACTTTCTCTAATTTTGTTTGTCATTGGAGCTACACCAACCCTATCACGGATATATTCATTTCACATTTCGTCTCTAAATGTAAAACCACTCATCCACCTAATCATTCTCATCTCAGCAACACTCAAATTAGTATTATGCTTCTCTTTTAAAGGCCAACATTCAACGCCATAGAGCATTACATGTCTCACCACCATCTAGGTGTAGCAGCTATCGTACCGCTGACACATTTTCCTAATTGATCAATTACCTTTTCTATTTCCTTATTCTAATTCATTCCTTTTCTCACTACAAGTACTTATTATAAATATGCTTTTTGCTATCTTAGGCTTTGTTTTTTGTGTTGGTGAGTTTTATTTCAGATTTCTGTCAGGACAGCCTCCAGTGTCTGTTTTCCCCTTCCAGGGCTATATCCAAGGGATTGGGAGGTGATCCGGCTGTAACTCTCTTATGAAGTGATAATTATCTTTCTCATATCTCCTTCCACATCATCCTCCATCACTTCAAGTCGTTGTACATCGCTGCAGCCGGCCACAACAGCCTTCAGTTCACTATTTTATGCCGCCCCAGCTTCCCAGTGGCCACCCACATCCTTCTAGCTTTGCTGCCGCCCAAACCGCACATCCTCCATGCTGTCCCATCGCTATCCACACCCAATCCTCGCTGCCATAACCCATAACAGCCTCCATACCTGCTCTCCCCTCACTACCACGAACATGCCTTTGTTGTTGCCACCCCCACCAACCATCCCGATACACCTAGCCGACCTCCACCACCCTGAGATACGCTTTAGAGATGTTTTCTTGTGTCGTTTTATATTTTTTTATAACTTATTTCATGTTTGAAGAGTCGTTGGTGTAACCCTATTCGGATTCAACAATAATATTTTTATTTCTATTATGAGTTGGGTTAACCACGATATCAAAAAATAAAAAGACAAAAAAAACTCAGCAAAGTAATTAGACTACAAGCAATCATAAATTCATAGTAAACTGTGCAAAATAGAAGAGAAAACATGAGGGGAGAATTGGTTATAGAACATTCTTGCAATTAGCACAATCCATCAAGCGACATGCATTGTTACAATAAATAAATGAAAGCCATGTTATTTAGTATTTAGGAGTTTTTCATCTGTGAGTTTAAGTGGAAGCATATATAACGCTTAAAATTTATAAATTAAAGTAAGAAAAGTAGAGTACTAACTTAAAAGTAAGACGTTAAAATTAACATATCCAATTTTGATATCTATATTTGTGTTTTATTTAGTAAATGGTTACAATTTGATTTTAATCACATATGCCTCAAGTTCGGACCCCTTACATGTGCATTATTTCAATATCTTAGCCAATATTTTTCTTCAAATGTTGGATCAAAAGCATCCTTAATTCAAAGATTGAAAGCATTTAGTGATCAAATAAAAAGCTTTTGTCATCAATTTTTCACTCGCACAAGCGCTCATTATTTCAGCACAAGTCCATCTTCACTCTCAAAAAAAAAAAAAAACTGATAGGAAGGCAAGAGAAGTGGTGCCATTTTCAGTGTTAGTTTTATCTATCTTTAGGAGATGGGATAAATCAACACCATCTTAACTCCGATGCCTGTGACGACATACTAGTGTTTCTTTCAACCTCCTTGCAACGAATATGTGATGTCTTATGGTTTTCCATCGTTACAAGTAGATAAAACCCTAATATGTGCCGCCTTAGTAGAATTAAGACAATTTTTATTTGGTTTTTAGGTAAAGTTAAATTAATGTGTTGCATTCTTTTACTTCAAATCTCTTCTTGCAAAATATATCATTTTTTGCATCTAGTGCAGTGCATCGTTAATGGTAGGAAATGATTATTCAATTGGTGTTGAGATTGTTGGACTAAAATGCAAGCATTTTGAAAGCATCCAAATAGTATGAACCAGTGCAAGAAGATACAGAGGATGCCTTTTGCTTTTCAAAGAGGAAAGCATGGGAAGGTGAATTAGCAAACACAAAGAGATTTTGGTCGGAGACCTGCATCTAGAGAGGTGAACTCAAAACCACCAAAATCAAAGTGAAGGGGATTGAGAGCTTTGCTAAAAACCATCGTTTCCTGACTTTCAAACCATTCTAACTCTTTTAACTATAAGCGCTCATTGGATCAGCGACTGCACGGGATAAGAAGTAATGATTCAAAGGAAGTGGAAGGTATATAAAATACATGGTGACAACCAATTGTGCAAGTGATAAGATGCAAATAACAAAACTAACACAGAGTTATTTGAGTTGGGTGTTTTTAAGCCTACCTGAAATGATTTAAAGTTGAACTAAAATCAACTTCTCTTGAGTATCAAATAATGAATCGAGCTCCCAGCGAGATCGAGCTAAACTCAAATATTTCGGGCATGAGTTAAAGTTAACTTACTCAAACTACACTCATTGCCAACCTTACTCCGTTGTCTGGTCCGTGTGGAAATAGCATCTTCGCAATGTAAAGATCGTTACATTAACCACTCTCTCCAAACATAAATTAGTGGAAATTCTCTGCTTCATGTGACAAGTACATCTTATTTTATAAATAACTTTATTGGCCTTAAAAAATTTTTTAAAAGCAAATTATATACTTAGCATTGAATTGTTTTGATTTATATGGAGTAGCAACTGTAATATTGTTGGTCATGCATGATGAATAGTAAATCAATGTCCTTAATGATAAACTTTTTTCTAGTATTTTGAATAAAAAAAAATATTGATTGTTAGCTACACAAATTAGTAAGCCTATCTGATTGAATATACTAAGTAGTGTATTATTAATCCAAAAGTTTTTCTTTCGTACATACCGTAGATTTTGTGCTAGACACATGTTTTCTTGATGGAAAACATTAAACCAGATAATGCTATTTTACAATGTAGCATGCCATCCCTCTCATAAACTCTGCCATACTTATCAAGTCTTTTGATAATGTTTAGGAACAGTGTCATGAGAAAAAAAGAACTATTTTAACAAAAATATGTATCATGGGAGTGCCACGTGTTTTCTAATAATTTTTTTTTTCGAATGAACATCTTGATGTATTGTTTCATCAGACAGTTGCATATCTGATGTATAGATTATGATGGTAAGAAAATCACAAAAATGCTGAATTTCTAATGCTGTAGACAATAATAAATCCAATGCCTCTGCAAAGACAGTATAATTGACAAGTTTCAGAAGCTAACGGTTTTCAATTTGCACATATTGCTAAAAAAGTAATCTAGAGATAGATTGAAAGCATAGGAAAAGAAGATGTACAACCCTAACAAAAGAGTAAGGCAGATGAACAAAACCATAAAGCAACTAGTAAGTTGAATTTAAGCATATGAAAAAAAACTTTCATCATCACATATAAAAGGTTATTATAGAACTACCTTCATTGCTCGGTCTTTAAGACTAGGTAGCACATCCATCACTGCCTCCTCAAGAGAAATGACAAATCGCTCGTATCTACAGTAGTATGGATAGAAAAGGCAAAGCACAAAAATGACTAAAAACCTTCACAATGAAAATTATTACATTGAGATTAGGCAGCCAACATTTCATACCTACAGTATGCAATCAAAATTTATAAGCACATAGAAAGTCCAAAGATAGCATAGAAGTATAAACTTCTAAAGAATAATATGTATTAAATAATTGAGCGCCATGGTATGATAATGGCAAATGTTAACAAAAATACAGATTACATAAACCGCCTGATTGCAAATGTTATGTAAACTAATATTATGTTTCATTCCTCGGAGAGTTCTAAAAATACAAAAATAACACGCTTGAAAGAATAGTTTAGTATACAACAGCAACAACAAAGCCATAAATCCTTTTTCTCCATTTTGTCCTATTTAGTGTCATATTTTCATTTAGTTCTAGTAAATTAAGATCATTTTTTATACAATAAGCTCAGTCTTCCTAGGTCTACCTCTGCCTTTCTTAACACAAGTCGAATCTAAAACATCTACTCTCCTAATCAGATCATCAGATGGTCGACGTTTAATGTGACCCAATCATCTAAGACGACTTTCTTTAACTTTGTCCGTCAAAGGAGCTACACCAACTCTAGTTTAGTCAATGAAAAAAATTGGACTTTAGCATTCTCTAAAAAAAAGCTCATTTAAACAATGTAGTCTAGCATTTTGAAGGAAAAAATATGGAGAAAAGATTTTAAAAAGAAAAACCTATCATCACCCATTCTCCCAAGCCACACATCCTGTTGCTCGACGAATTCAAGGCAAAATCACTAAAATATTACTAGGGGGGTAAACGAGCCGAACACGAGCGACCCCAGGCTCAGCTCGTGTTCGACTCGTTTATATTTCGAGCTCAAAAAGTGTGTTTGTGTTCGGCTCGTTTACAGCTTATTATACTACAAGCGTACCCTGCATCAGCTAACCAGCCAACTAAAGTCGTATTAATCAATTTGGTCAGTCCTGCAATCAACATCATAAGGATGCTTAGAATAAAAAAAAGGTAAATTCACTGCCATTCCTATTCCCCTTCCTCCCAATCATGAGAAGAAGAAGAGTGGTGGAGGCGAAAACCTTCAAACATGTAAGCTGCTATATTAATATACAAAAGTTTGACAAGCATCTATTCGTTGGCATTTAAGCACCTAAGCTGAAAGTAGTGAGAGTAAGAGTCTGTTTTGGGCAGTTGCAACTTTTTGTAAATGTATATATTAAGCTGCGGTGGAAACAATAACTTCTTAGAAAACTACGATGAGAATTATAAAATATTTCTTTTTTAAAAAAGTTATAGCATATTTCTTAAAGATCTTGCTACAAAAAAAGCTATTTACTAACAAAATAACAATAATAATAATAATAATAATAAAGCAGTTCCCCAAACAGAACCATGGCGTCGGTTTAAAATACAAAAGGCAAAAAGCTGCCCCAAACAGAGCCTAAAAAATAGAAAACCAATAGTATTAAGTGGTGGATTATAAACATAAAAAATGACCCATGTTCAAATCACAAACATAGAACTTTTATAAATATAGAAATAAGGTTGCAGACACAATACCTTCCAAAGTCCCATCATTGGTGGGAATGCCTTATCTATGCCTTTTTAGCCATTTAGGCTTTTTGTTGTCAACTAAATCACATTGCTTGTTATCCTAACAATGCTTATTCAGTTTATTAAGGGTCATTAAATCCTTCTCGAAGGAATGCTCAAGTTGTCCATGATTCCAAAAAACTTGATTGAAAACATTGGAATACAACTTTCTTCAGTGTTTAACATTATGATCTCGTGCAAGAGAATGATTTAGATATGTAAAATAGAACCAAATAAGACACTTGAAAAAATGTTAAATTAACCAAATTCCCAAAGTTAATGCAACTGATAAAATTTTATAGGTAAACATATAAACCATTACAAAGTAAGATAATCCAATCAATCTTGCTTCACAATGGAAAGAATCGTGGGTTTACTTCCTACGAAGACAAATTGATCATATACGTTCGTCTATCAGCCATCCTAAGGCTTTAATCAACATTTTCTGATGATCCAGTTTAGTCAAAAGTGGATATTCCTTGTTCATGGCAATCACTTAATAGCAATACTCATTGTCCATTATTTTTCATTCAAATTCAAAGCCCAAGCTTGGTGAGCTACTACATAATTGGATTCCCAGATGCATTTAGATTCCAATAAAATTAGTTTAAAAGAGAGTCGGATATTATTGAACATGTTTGTGCAACAACTCAACATCTCCTGGGTCGAATTTAAATCAGTTAAAGCTAGAATGAGAGCAAAATAATTTTACATGCCTACATGTATGAATGCAAATATATATATATAAATATATTTGAATGTATTTATAATTGAATCAAAGTCTATGTGCATCTATAGATTAATAAATAAAAATCTATTTATGGAAGAGTGTCTTATGCATGTTGGACCAAGAATTTGTCCAATAGAATAGAAATCAAAATCTTCTTTTTTTTTTTTTGCTTGAATCAAGCTCAATGAAGTCAATGAGAAGGGTATGATTCAGATCAAGAACGGAACGAGCAACCCAAAAATTGATCTTAGCTTAAGCTTGAGAATAGGTTAAACAACTATAACACAAACTTGAAAGTGCCGAACATCTAACTAGTAATGAAAGGCTGAAAAGAGATGTCTAACCAAATGAAAAAACCCATGGCTTCAAGAAATCTGATGATGCATAAAGCGCATTGTATGCAAAATTCTTGTTTACACCTTCGAAAAACTAAGCACAATTAAAGTGTGCTTCAATTAATTGAAGCTCATAAATCACAAATATTACTTAAGATAATATAATTTAACAAACATCATATAGATCAAAGTTATGAATTTATCTATGGAATTTTAAGTATAATATTAAAAATAAAAAAGAAATAACCAACAGTAAGCAATAGAGCACAAATGGGGGATGGGATTACAAGACATACACACAGCGAGATGAGAAATAAAAAATATTAACCCACATTGAACAAGGTTTCTTCTTCAAAAAGTGTGTGGAAAATGTGTCGCACACTCTGCAAAACAACAATGAAGAATAGATTGTCACTTCAACTGTGCTTTACAAAGTAAGCTCACTTCTTTGCAGGACAATGCCTTGCCGCTTCATTTCACACCACACTAAAAGAGCATGCTTCTTTGTGCATTTAGCACGTGAGTTAAATGAACAAACCTAAAATTCCTAGCAAAGGATCCTCCTGTCGAATTTTTTCATTGCCTAGGCGCCAATAAAAAACTTGCCACATAAGAAACATTCACCACCACAAGAGAACATAGAGAAATTAGAAAATAATGTGCTTGATGATGTGCTTGCATGACATTAAGCCATGATAATGATGATCACTATACCTTCAAGACCTCAAGTTGTAAGAAACGCCTTTAAAACAAAACAATTAATCTGCCATTCTTGTACTAAATAGATTAAAAATCTTATGAACGATATAGACAACAAAAATTATTGGGATCCTAAAAACAAAAAAAAAACAAGACCATAAAAACCCTCAAAGAATTTCAAAACTTTATGAATTTAGTGAAAATCATAAAGAGGGGCCGTCTGGAAAAGTCGATGCTTGCCATCCCGATGAATATGGATGGATTAAAAAATGCGAATGTCAATGCTCCCACTTTTAACAATAGACATCATTTGAATATGCACCTTGATTAGATAATGGAACTTGAATATCATTTGATTGAAGGCCCGTCTGGGGCAGCTTTTTGTGCGCGGCGCGTTTTGAAAACACAATTTATGTAGTTTGGAAAAAGCGGAGTGGCAGCGTTCTTAAAAAAATTATGTAAAACGCGGCTACGGGTTCAACCCGCTGTCGGTGTTTCTTCACATGCTTTTTACCCCGCTGGTGTTGGCTCCCTCTCTCGTGTTTCTACTTGTATCTCTCGACCCCATGGCTCCCTCTCTCGCGATTCTTCTGCCCTAGTTACCTCTCTCCCTTGGACTTGTGGCTCCGGTGGCTAGGCATTGTTTTTGGATGCCTCTTGTTGGTTGACCCTTACATACTTCTCCCTTTCCTCCTATTCTTCCGCTTGATTTGGTGGTTCTGTGCACTTTGTGCTCTATGTGGTGGTTCTCCTTCTTCGGTAGATGATTATTATAGTGAGTTTTCTAATCTCTCTTTCCC